CTTTCTTTGGTCTATAAATAGAAAATGTTTGTGGCTGTTTTAGAGATGTTATGTGAGTGATATGATGTGATTTTTGGAACAAAAACCTGAGAGGTTTTTACTTTGGAAATCCTGCGGGCTCTTTCCAATCTTCTTCCCCTCCTCCTATGAAAATCTTGCGAGCTCTTTCCAACCTTCGTCTTGGCTTCTAACCTCTTTCGTCTATCCGCAAGTGCCATTCCATTGTATCCTTCTTCTCTATGTGAAGCAACTATAGGGTGTCTTGTAAGTGTCATTTGAGTCGTTTGCAAGTGTTCAAGTTGTTTGTAAGTCTTTTTATAATATGAAAAATGGTGTTTTAGTTTATTTGTCTAATTAGTCTAATTTTTGTGAGTTCTTGTAATCTTTTATTCTCTAGAAAGAGTTTCTTTTTTTGTGATAAAAAATTTGGATCCCTCTCCCAAATTTTTGATTGCATCAAAAACAATCAGACAGGTGATCTACACCACAAACACCACTTAAACCCAACTATTTGAAAACTTATGTCATGTATAACTAAGAAGAAAAAGCCATTAAAACTATTTTCAAATAACTAAAAGAATGAATATGCACCTGAAGAAGTCTAGATATTATTTCATGATAGACAATAAACATGAATATAAGTGCATTGAGTACCTCTAGAACGGGGTAAAACCGTGAAAGTTGCCAAGTCTCTTCTTCATCACTCCTTTCTTTCCTAGCTGCTTGTTTCTTCTATTAGCCAACAATATCAAGCGATGATTAGTCAAACGTGATAGCTACATATGGAACAGAAACCTAAGAAAGTTAACAATGAGGCCAAAAAAGTGCTTACTTTATGAACCTCGAACTTGAGTGAAAAGCCTCCTGATGTCTTTTTGGGATCAGGTAATGCCAAGTATCTCATGTTATAAACAGCATTCATGTCATCAGGTGATAATCTTGCCAACTGAAAAAAAAAAAAATTTCTTTCTCATGAATCTGCTTTAAGCAAACCAACAACAGATTCCAAAGAAGCTTAATTAATTGGCTCCTAGAATTTGTTTTTGTGCAAAAGACATTTCTTGGGAGAAAAGTGTAGACGCAGCCAGAAACAACAGCGAACCTTCAAAGGGTAAACTTCAAAATTTTTTAAGATGTAGAACAAATTGCTTCAAATGCATCAAGACACTATATTGGTCACCATCAGTATTATTTCAATAACTTTCTTGAAAAGCATCAAGACATTATTTTGGTCACCTTCATTATTATTTCAATAAGAATCTCGAAGACGAAGTATATGTTTCGAGATGGATCCCATGCAATATTCTAAGACAAAAAAGTAAAATAAAAGAGAGAATTCTGTTTTTTAAGAACAAAAAGTTTGAGAGCTAAGCCATGATAAAACCTACAGTTCAACTTGTTCCAGAGATTTTCTTTTAAATTCATCAATTTTATGGCTTCAATTTCTCTCAACATATCATAATGAACAATATTAGAAGAGTATGACTTTTATCGGATACTTAGCAGTAAGTTCATTATAAAAGTTTAAATTTTGAAAATATAGTAGCCACTCCCATATTGAAACAGATTAAAATTTTGTAAAGTAGTCATGCTACACTATTTTCATGAGACTTAACTTGTATCATGACAAATTTGGCGCCTTCATTTTAAATGATTTGGAAAAGGTTTCAAAAACCACAATTCAACTAACAAAAAGGAACTACGATTAATTCCATAGAGATTCTACTTGAACAAAGAAAATATTATATGACAAATATATGAAATTGGATATTTTAACAAAGAAACTACATTCTTCTTTTTGATATGTTATTAAAAACGGCAAAGAGAATATTCTTACTAAAATTAATAAAAATGGGGCACAGCTAGGGATGTGTCTCATCTCAGTCTGAAAAAATACATTAAGTTTAGAGCAGGCTAAAAAATACAACTTACAAAACATTGATGCACATAATCAAAATGATAGATGTACAAAATACATGCAGGTATAAATTGAAAATAGGAAAAATACAGTTCTAGCAAATAATGAAAATCAGAAAGACTGCACAAATAAGCAAAGCCTGGCAAATATGGACCAAGTAATGCTGTCAGGTATAACCTATGAACGAATTGACAATTAATATGAAGAAATACTTGTCAGAAAGGACTAAAACAGACTGAAGTATAGATCTTATTCTCATTGCAAGTAGAATATATATATGCATCATGTAGCTTAAAATGCTTCGAGTTTGACAAACAACCTGCATCAACTTCTCCCCTTTATCACCTTCAAACTTCTCTGGATATATAGCCGCAAAAATCATCAATAATCGAAGCTTATTTTCATGAGTCACATTCTGTGCAATAAAGCTAATTTACACGTCAAATAATATAAAAAGTGGTTGCAAAACCTTAGTTCATATTAAAATTACTCTGATAACCTGATTTGTCCGTAAGAAATTGATCAGGTCTTTGGTCCCAGCATCTCCAAAGACAAGATCCTGTTCCAGTTGTCCCAGTTCTCGAAGTCCAACTTCCCTAATCACTTTGTTAATCTTCCCTGCTATCTGCATATGATAGGCGTTATTTTCTTTCAATATATCATTAAAGTTCAAATTGTTCAAAAAGTTTATCTAGCTAACATAATTAGTCTCACAATTGGGGAAGATTACAAAAAATTTTCAGAAGAAAAGAACAGAAACTCCTCTGAAGATTAAAAAAAACTTGCATACTTTTCATTGATTCAGGAGGCAACTTGAATAACATAAGAGATCAAATCTCGTTCAAGGCAAACAATTCAATACACCAAACACTTTTTTATTCACCATGAATAAGTTGCGATAAGTCACAGATAAGACAATGAAAGCATTTTACAGAAAATAGTAGCGGTTTGAGTGTAAAAGGCACTGAGAATTATGAAAAAAAAATCTCCACAACAAAGATAAAGTGTGACGAAGGAGGTAGGGAGAGAGGGAGAACTAGATGGTCTGCTATTATAGTTCTAAGTAGTGAAATCTATCCCACTAGGAACACATCCAAAAGAAGAAGAATGGGCACTTTCCTATGGATAGAGATGAAGAGGATAAACATCACCATTTGCAATGTTGGGAAATAGATAAAACTCAATGCAATTACCATGAGCAAGAAAAAAAAAACAGTACAGAAGATAAATGTACAAAAGAAGCAGAATTTTATACAAGTTCACTCATTTGATACTACATCCTGTTGTCGTCACTACAAACTTTGTTATGGCTTTTCTAGGATTTGATTATGACAAGGTCAACCAGCAACTAAGTCTGTGCAACACGTTTTCTTTGTAGGATAAAAAATAAACTCCAAACATAACATGTAATACATCCACAAAAGCATTTAACTTTAGATACACTTGAAAAAATTAAACATCCTTGAAAAGTGAACTTTGTTCTTGAATTCTTGATCAAACTAGATGAATCTCAAGTAATTTTAAACAAAAGCTAGATGAACATCTATATACTTTTATTTCCTTTTTGTAAATTTATTGAGAGGTTTAATGGAGAAGTATAGAGAGAAAATTGAGGATTTACATATGATATTTATTGATTTAGACAAAGCATATAATAAAATTTCAAGAGAAGTTCTATGAAGAGTTCTAGAAAAGAAAGGAGTTAATAATACTTATATTCAAGTCATTAAGGAAATGTATGCAGGAGCAATTGCTTGTGTTCAAACACAAAGTGGTTTGACCAAGTACTTTTCGATTTTAGTTGGATTACATCAAGGATCAACTTTAAGCACATATCTTTTTACTTTTAATTATGGATATTCTTACTAGATATTTGCAAGAGGATGCACCCTGGTGTTGCTAATGATATTTTTCTTGTTGATACGACTAGAAAGGGAATCGAAGGAAAGCTTAAATTGGAGAGGTCAATCATAGAGTCTAAAGTTTTTAGTTTAAGATAAGCATCCATATGCTTTGGGCATCTTCATGGAGGGTGAGTTTAGAGGATTGGCTAGGTTGACTTTATTGTGAACTAAAAGTTAAGGGTTTGAATAATTGAAGAAACTTTTCCACTAATGTAGTGGTAAGGCTGCATAAATCTAGCCCTCTAAACATTCATGTCACAGAGCAAACAACATATGATAATATATAGGAACTCAGATCCATGCTTGCAAGAGCAAGAGAAAGAGAGAGAGAGAGAGAGAGAGAGAGAGAGAGAGATGCAAAAAGAGGGAGAGACATGATGGTGGTTGTGATGATGATCATGTATGAATTAGTTCAAGATGCACCTGTGAAAGATGCAAAAATATTACCATTGTTTTCATCCTAACATAATAATAATACCATTGCCTAAAAAAATTGAACCATGCATCTCCCACTTTCGTATGCATATTTGGCTTATATCGAATTAACAGAGGGATCAAGGAATGCTTATATGTAAATAACTGGCTTACAACCCAAATTTAGGCAAATGAAATGTTCAATCATAAAACAGTGATCAACTCAAATTTATATCTGAAAGCCTTGAATTTTTCTGGTAAACTTCCAAAACTAGTTAATACAAAGGATTGTCTTGTTTGAAAGCATAAGATATAATAAATATAGCAAATATTGATTCAAAAGTGTCAACAATACGGAAAGTTGAAACTTATTCAATTAAAGAAAAACATTACTTTTGCAATCAAATGGTTAAAAATAGAAAAAAATAAACATGAACATACTGATTTTAAATAAATTATTGGGTTTAAATTAGAAGGATAGACAAACTAGTGCAGAAAAGAATGATAACCATATGTCCAACAAATGCCACTTCACAATATACAAAATATTTGCAAATGATCGACATTATCTAACAGTTACAGAACAAACTGAACCTCAACATGAAGAGAAAGCTTATCGATCTGCTCACTGTATTGTGGCAATGCTTGAACCATTTTTTGCAAATCCCTAGTTGACAGTTCGCCACCATCTCTGCATAAAACTTGGGTGAGAAATATGCAGCACATAATATCCATTCAAGCATGCTTCAAATTTATGTATAAAAAGGTTGGTAGTATCGGCTGGGAGAAATTACTTTTTGGACTATTATTAAGATGCATGTAGTGCATCCATTCTTCAAAAAATCCAACCGTAAGGTTAACAATTAGCGGTGTGTCATCTCAATTACAGTCCAAATGCTTGCACAAAATTTACAAGGATTTCACTAAGAGCGTTTTACAAGAATTAACGCAATACAGGACTTCGACTGTAGTGTAAACCAAAATATCAGAAAAAAAATGCTATCTTTACATGCATGTATGATTTTGTTTGCACTGCAGGTGTGACTATTAACTGACTCTGATTTGCTCTTACGCAATGTTTCGCATGAAAAATTATCTTACAAGTGTATCTCCATTTTCAATGAGCACTTTAAGCACATGCATATTTGTCGCATCTATATGCATATGCTTGTTTTTTGAGAGATGACAACATGACAAAAAAGGCATAAGCAATAGAAGGTAGAGCAACCACTTGTCTGTTTAGGAGAAGAGCAATTACTTATCTGTTTAGGACAACATCAAGCAACCAACTACTACAAAAGCCCAAAGTGATGAATAAGGTGCAACCAAGGCTTTATAGCCAAAGGTCTAGTGATGCATTTAGATTTTTTTTGCATTATTTTTGTTTTGAACAATATTAGTTGTATTTTCTATTTTTTGTTTTATTTTTATGCTATCCAATGATGGTGGTAAATCCAATGATCATGGTAGGAAAAGGTTTGGGTTATGCTTACCTTGGGTTTGCTGGCTTTGGGGTCCACCTTGTCCTTTGGGTTGTTTTTTGGTTTCAAGAGGGCCTTGGCTGTTTTCGGTTTGAGAATTAGCTGTTGAAATTCTAGTGGTGCCAGCTCATTAATATCTTGTGGAGGTGTAGCTCATTATGAGCTAATGTTTAGCTTTGAAATTAAAGAAAATTGGAACAAGATTTGATGAGTGGATCTTGCCCTTTCATCTCCTTGATGACTCTTGGGATGGTGCGGTTATCTGCTGGATTTCTCCCATGGTTTTATTTGGTTTCCTGCTGTCCCTTTGGTTTACTACCTAATTTATTGCTGTGGTCCCTTTTTTACCGTGAATTGAACTTACCTTTTGGAACTTGTGAAAAAACTGCTGGTTTCCTGTGCTTGAGCCATGACTTACTGCGTCTGTGACATTTGGAAATTGCTGACTAAATCCTGTTGGCTTTTCAAGTCTCCATTTATGGTAGAATAAAAGTTAATCTTGGGCTGTTTAGTTCCCTCTTTCCATATATATATGAGATGCTTTGAAGAGAATTGGGAGTGAATTATTGTGAGCAAATTGCTATTGACCTGCGGGTTATTGGAAAAAGCTTGCGAGCTTTGTCCGTCTTCTTTCTCATCCCTCCGGAAATTCCTGCGCTCTTTCCAACCTTTCTTATCGGCCTTCTAATCTCTTCGTCTCTCCGCAAGTTCCACTCCACCTGTATCTTTCTTCTAGTTCCGTTGGTAAAGTTTGTTGGCTGTTTTAGTGGATTTGTTGGCTGTTTTGGTGGCATTTGCTGGAGGGGTTTGGTAGGACGTTGGACCCCTTTGCAGTGGTGGACCCTTTGGTTTGCATATCTAAACCTTATTTTAATATATATTCCTACAATCGGTGCATGTGAGGAGTCCTCTAGTAGGATGTTCTGAGGATAGCGAGGATAGCTTTTATTTGTTTTAGTTTGTTTCTTTTGTTAACTTTCTTTTGCTTTGGCTTTGTTGGATGATCATTTATTTTCTATTCTGAAATTTAGTTGTTTATTTAGCCTATTTTGTTCTCCAAGTGGTGTCTTAAATTTCTAAAGAGCTAGTCTTGAATTTTTTTGTTCTCTCTTCGTGTTTTTGTTTCAAGTTGCATACATCATCTAGCTACCTACAAAACTATGGGTACAACCAATCCACGCCACCAATGATTCAATCATCAATTGCGATGATTGAATGCCATTTGAGGACTAAGTATTCCACCGGAAACAGTACGAAACATGATATTAGTAATCTCTCTCACTTAATAATCCTCAATTATTTTATTTACCTAGGATGCTTGAGCCATTAAAATTTTGAAATGGTGACCTTAAATACTATTTCACATAGATTAGCAAAAGAATTTGATAGGAGAAAGCAAAAAAATCATATTTCTTGTTACACTTCATTGAACTCAATTCAAATAAATATTCCAATCATGTTATATGAAACAAAAGGTACATAAAAATCCATATCTCTTAACCTCAAAAGCTATAGGACCTTTCATGTTTTTTTAGCCCCAAAAGTTACTGGAACATTTATCTTCATTTGCTTGGATCCAAAACTAAGTGAATAAACTCATTTTCCAACATAGGACCATATCCAAATAGTCCTCTATTAGACCCAAATCAAACGTGTGTTCTTTCCTCCTGTTTGGCCTCAAAGCTAAAGATTATGTACTCAATCAGAATGAGTGGATGATTTCCCTTAAATCCAAAATTCTTAGATCTTTTGTCTTGATTTTGAGCTGCAAAGCTATAGACCAAGTCTTAACTTTACTTGCTTACCCCAAAAAAGCAAGTACCTTTCTCTATCAACCTAAAAACCAAGGTTTTTAGGCCTATATATTTGACCCATTTAAGTACGTGAACTTTCGTATTAATACTCAACCTCTAGATGGCCTTTAGAGAAAATGGTGAATTATCTCATTCATCCTAATTAAATTAAATTAAGCTTTTTGTCTTTTTAAAAGTCTATTATCTTGGAATTCAACTTACCCAATTAGATAAATTCCACTAAACTCCTAGTGAAACCCTTATGTTTGTCTTACTCAATTAAGCAAATTTCACTCTTATCCAAATACTAAGATAATTTATTAAAATTCTTAAAAAATACGTATGTTTCTTTTGATGCAATGATGTGTCAATCCACCATAAAAGGTAGAATGCCCATGCTATCAATCTCATGATATCATGAATGATAGAATTATCTCAAAACAAACAGTTATTATTCAATGGATATTTTGAAACCTTCAAAAATATGAAACTAAATTAAAATTCAAATAAAAATTTTAAATCATAAATAAATTTAAGTAAAACTACCCCTGTATTAAAATTAACTCTTCTTCTTTTCCAGAATAACACAATACATTTAATAATAGTGTGACAGCCACACGATCAAGTACACACTATATGCACAGCCCCTTACGCATCATAGGACTGGGATTTCTTTTTCTGCGCAATGGTTGTAATGCTTACAGTGAAATTGCTGTTTAATTAATTATATGTGTTGTGAGTAAGTGCCCTTAATTGTTAAAATAGAAATATCTACCTTTTTTTGGTGCATGTGGCCATGCCCAAATGAGGTAAATAAATTAAAAAATTATATAATAATATTTTCTCATACACTATAACCTTAATAGACATGAATAACAGGTTACAAAAATCAGCTTAGCACTATAGTGCTAAGCAATCTGTGTTGTGATGTTGAACATATATTATATGCTTTTTAATTCTTAATTTTGTAGGAAAGAATAATTTTATTTTATTTTTATAAGTTTAATTCATCCATAGTTTTAAGAAATCATATAGGCATTTGAGATATAACAAAGGGAATGTTAAACCAAAAAGCTGAGCTTCGAAGTGAGCTTCGATGCATCAAAAGTCAAAGTTTGAAGACTTACATGCCGCATTTGAAAATTCAATCGAGTTGTACAAGACAAGCAACTCAGTTGTCTTTTTTTACTTTGCTGGTTATAAAATAATATCAATATTATTTTGTGGTTGATTACTGTGAGTGTCTAGTTTTTATTTTGAGAACATATTAAAATTGCATATTTTTCTTAGATTTCTTTTGTTATTTTGCTTGAGGGTGGGCTTGGAGATTTTATGCAGTAAGCTCATACAAAGTTATGTTTTCTACTTATTAAAAGAATAAATAACCTTAAAATCCATCATAGAATAATATTTTCAAATATACTTGCATAGCTTATACAAAAATAAGCAAACTAGTTTAAAACTAAAATGAAATACAAAACCTCCTTATAAAATTTAGTATGTAAATTAGTATTTGACTAATTACTTATCCATAAGGATATGCTCATAAATAATAAACAAACCCGTGTTTAACTAACAAATATCACATGTATAACCTTATAAGTCACACAAAGAAATTAGAATAATCCATCAAGGATTAGATAACTAAAAAACTATATCATGAGTCAATATATACATTTCCTTACGGTCATACATCTTAGCTTAAGCCGTTAAGCTATAAATCCTCTTTACAACAACAATACCAGCAAGCTTTTTATCCCACTATGTGGGGTAGGCTACATGAATCTTTTTTCTCCATTGTGTTAATGTTAATAGTCAAATTCTCCTAATAAATAAAGGTCATTTCTAATATTTTCTAACCAAGTTTTATTAGGTTTATCTCTACCTATTTTAACATAAGTCCAATCTGATACATCTACTTTCCTAACCGGGTCATCGGAAGGCCACCGTTTTATGTGACCAAACCATCTAAGGCAACTCTCTCTATCTTCCACTGGAGCAACTCTAACCTTTTCACGTATATGCCCAATTCATATCTTCTCTTTAAGAGTAAAGCCACTCATCAATCTGAGCATCCTCATTTCTACAACACTTAACTTAATATTATGCTTATCTTTTAATGGCCAACATTCTGCACCATACAACATTGCAGGTCTCACCACCATATTATAGAATCTTCCCTTTAGTTTGAGGGGGACTTTTCTATCACACAACAAGCCTGATGTATATACATTGAGACCAGGAATGCATAATTTAAAAATGCTTAAGTGGAATGAGTTGGCTGTCCTTCCAAGGCAAGATTGTAAAAATAGAGGTGACTTAACTTTATGCAAGGTTCTAAGTTTGAAAATTCTTGCATTTTGGAAGATTTAAGTTTGAGATACTATTTACCGATGGTTCACATCATAAATCTAAAT